GCATCGCGAAGCCCCCTTCTGTCGGGGGCCCCCTCCTCTTGGCGGGCCTGGCCGTCGGTGTGGGGGAGCGGCTCGCGCCAATGGCTGCCTGCCGCGGACGGGTGTGTCCGCGACCTAGGTGCGCGGCCACGGCGGCGACCGCGGGGAGGAGTGGAGTTGGCACGAGTTAATCCTGTTTGTCCGAATCAAGAACGCTTGATCGGAGTCCCCCGTCCCGCACTGGACCTCCCGTCCTCTCCCCGTCACTCGCAGTGACCTTCACGTGACCTCTGGACCGCCCCCTCCGCCCCCTCACACACCCTCCGCGCCGAGGGACGCCCCGACGCTCCGGGAAATGATTCAAATTATACTTGTGATGGAGTTGCTGGGCTGCTGCTCCCACAGCGTCTCAGCCCCCTCCTCGACTCGCAGGCAGCCCGGCAGGCAGGCAGCCCGGCAGGCAGGCAGCCCGCCGCACCCGGCATACCACCTGCCATATCGGTCGGAAACATGTGCTCGCATATCGCACGGCATATCTCCGCGAAGGCAGGCAGCACTCTGCGCCCCAACAGTGGCTTGCTCTGTCTCTCTCACGGAGCTCCTCGTGAGTGCGCGAGGGGAGGGACAGAGCGACGAAAGCACTTTCTGGAAGCAGGCAAGCTGGCTGGCACGGCTGGCACCACGGCCTTGGCTGGCGCCTCTGGGGCTCTGCTTGGCCGAGAACGCGCGAACGCAGCGGCTGCTGCGTGGCTCTTGGAGGTCTGACAGAGCGCGCGGGTGCGACGAGGAAGGGCCGAGTGCCTCCCTCTCTCTCGCTCTCTCTCGCTGCGCCGCCTGGCCGGCCGATCGGACCACACGAATTCCGACTGTCGATCATCATGCAAGAGGGGGCAGCGGCGGCGCGTTGCCGCCTATGCCTTGATTTGTGGAGTTGTTGCCTTGCTCGTGCGGCCAGAGCAGGGCGGGGCGGGGCGTGGGAATGATGCAGGGCCGGGCGCGGCGCGGGGATCTCCGACGCGGCAGTTCCCCCTACCCCTTTCCCCTCGGGCCACGCTCCTACTGCGCCGAGTCTAGTGTCTAGTCAGAAATATATCCAATCCGCTGACGTCGCGACTCGTCCCTTGCACGACGACGACGACGACAACGTCGCGCTGGTTGTTACCGTAAACCTGTCCCGTCGTACACAGTGGGCCAGAAGACCGGCGCCGCGGCCAAAACTCTAGACGCGTTTTGAGCTCTAGAGTCGCTAAACAGGACTCGAACCGAGCGTGTGACCCCACCAATGGATTCCTCGTTCGGATAGCAATTCATTTGTGGGGTCACACGTTTGGTTCGGGCCCCAGTTATCGACTCGGAGCTCAAAACGCGTCCGGGATTTTGACCGCCTCCACCGGCGCACTGTGCAGCGCCCGGCAGCGCCGCGCCGGAGACGTCTGTCATGTCGATGGTGCGCGTTGCGGCGCGGCGGCAGGGCGCGGCCGCTATCTGCCCTGCCGGCCCACGCCGTCGGGATGGCCGGCCGGGGCCACGACGGTGACCCCCAAGTGACCTCGGCGACGCCTCGACACACCTCCAGGGCGCCCTTCCTCTCATTACTTTCGGCCGAAACGAATTCGCTGGAAGACGCGGCCTTGGCGGCGCGGCGGCGCGGCGGAGGGCACGACGGCCACCTCGTCCTCGGCGAGGAGCAACAATCGGCCGACAATGGCGAATGGCGCCGCGTCGCCGCGTCCCGGACACACTCCGCCACACTCGCGCCGCGACCATTTGAGCGGATTAATCCCCCACCCCTCCCGCAAACTGATTGCGGCATTACTGTATTTAATTTATTTTTTTTGGGTGCTTTTTATTCGGCTTGGGTATTCTGAAGGCGCGCGCTGGCGCTGCAGGTCGGAGCGGATGTCCTCCAAGGCCAGAGAGCGTGCCTGTGCCGGCCTGTGCCTCACAGGCCTGTGCCTCACAGTGTGCCTCGCGGGGCGCAACAGCGTAACAGCGGCACGGGGGGCTCGACTTGCCGCGCTCGCCGCCGCCCATCGGGGCCCATTTGGGCTGGTGATTCATCACACGGCCTGGTTGCTTCGTTATCGTCGTCGTGTTGTCACGTTCCTTGTTGTTGTTGTTGTCGTCGGTCGTTGTTGTTGGCCGTGCTTTACCTGGCGCCGGGCCGTGACGGGCAGACCGTCGCCCGCTATCGCCGTATCGCGCCAGCCTATTGTTTTTTTGGCGGCCTTGGCGCGACGTGGCCGCGGCGGGCCGCGGCTCGCATCCTTGACCACGGCCAACCGCGGCACCGCGGCACCGCGGCCAGCGGACTGGGCCACTGTGACTGGGGCAGCGGTGGCGACGCGGCGGCCGAGTCCCTGGCGGAGCCCCTGCCGAAGCGACGCAGTCCTTCAGGACCTTTAGGGCCCAGGACTTGTGCCGAGCATGCGGACATTGGACATTGGGTATTGCGCATTGGAGGACGCGGGGCGATGGAGAGTCCGTGGCGGCGGTGAACATCGGGGCAGAAGACCGCTGGAGGCGGTCAAAATTCCGAACGCGTAATGAGCTCCAGAGTGGGTGAGCAGTGAGCAGGGCTTGAACCGAGCGTCTGACCCCACCAATGGATTCCTCGTTCGGAGGGCAATCCATTGATGGGGTCACACGTTCAGTTCGAATCCCATTCGGCGACTCTGGAGCTCAAAACGCGTCCGGGATTTTGACTGCCTCCAGCGGTCTTCTGGCCCACTGTGTGGCCCGTGTGGGGACTTTGGCGCCGCGCTGGCGAAGACCCACAGCCTTCTGCTTCCCGCAGCTGCGCGGCCAAGCCTGCAACAAAGCAAGAAACCGCGAGGCTCGCCGCGGGGGCCTGCGCCTTGCTGTGCCTGGCTTCTGGCTTGGCCAGGCTGCATTCGGCGCAGCGGGCGCCGCCAGCAAAGCCCCCGCCCCTCTCCCTCTCTCCGCCTCCCCTCGCCTCGCCCTGGCGACCGCGAGGCCGCGGCCGCGAGGCCGCGAGTCGTTGTTGGCGCCGCGCCGCCGCATGGCCGCGCCCGCTGCGATGCAGGCGATGCACCCCCTCCGGACGAGGAGCTCGGCGACGTAAGCGACCCCCTTCCCCTTCCACCGTCCGTGGCGTTGCCGCGCTGTCTTGTTTTGATTTGGCTGCTGGTTTTTGCGGGCCGTTTGATTGTCCCCGACATGATGGCGGCCCGCTCTTCGGCCGCCCGGACGGACGGCCCGGACCCCACTCGTCGTTTTCGCGTCGCCTTTGTTTTGTTTTCGAGAAAGCAATCTTCGGAGGGCCCCGCCGGCCCCGCCCCGCCGGTAGCACGCCGATGACGCGGGATGAAACGAAATGAGCTGCAATTCGTCACTCTTCACCTTGTCGCCGGTTGGTTCAGGTCTGTGCCCCCGGGCCTCCGCGCAGTGGGCCAGAAGACCGGTGGAGGCGGCCAAAACTTCAGACACGTTTTGAGCTCCAGAGTCGCTAAATGGGACTCGAAACGAGCGTGTGGCCCCACCAATAGATTGCTCTCCGAACGAGGAATCCATTGGTGGGTGGGGTCACACGTTTGGTTCGAGTCCCATTTAGCGACTCGGGAGCTCAAAACGCGTCTCGAGTTTTGGCCGCCTGCGCCGGTCTTCTGGCCCACTGAGGGCCGGGGTGCGTGCCCCGGAAGGCCTTGTCCCTGCTCGGCGTGCTCGGGGCGCGGGCAGCGCCGAGTGCTTCGCGTGCAGCTGTCCCGACAGGTGTCCCTCTGGCCAGGTGCGACTCAGCACTGCGCAGCAACGCACGCCACCGGGTTCGTTCACCCCGTTCAACGCCATCTTTCAGCGCGTTCGGAACGGCGAGGTGCGCCCCGCCCCACCGCGCCCCACCACGCCCTACCCCGTCCTACCCCACTGCGCCCCGCCGCACCCCGCCGCGCCCCACCCCGCCCCCACCCGCCCCACCCCGCCCCCCCCGCCCCGCCGCGTGCTGCTGCTGGATGCCGCGCCGGTGCGGCGTCGGGGCGCTTATCCGGCCGCTAGATCTCGGCTGCGAATGCTAACTGTTCTGTCAAAAGAGCGGCCTGATATGCAAACCACCGTGCGCCGCGGTGCGCCGGCGTTTGGGGACGCGGTGTGTGTGTGTGTGTGTGGGGGGGGGGGAGACAATGCCTCTGTGTGTGTACGAGTGTGTGTGTGACCCACTTTAAGGTCAGAGTCACCTGGCGCTGGTGGGGATGGAGACCGTCCCACTGTGGGTGTCTGAAGGCAAATGCATAATGCAAGCAGGTCGCCAAATTATTCGTCATTTCCTTTTCTTGACCTAACGGCTGCTGCCTGCCTCGACTGCCCCGGCTGCTGCCCCGGCTGCTGCCCTGCAACAGCGAACACACGTCACCGCGTCCTGCTGACTTGCCGGACCGAGGGGGTATGCGCTCTCTGAACCTGTGTACCGACTATTACGCTATTACGCTCTATTACGCCACAAATCAATCGGAATTTAGCTAAAAACGGCCTAAAACACACCAAAATTGATAAAAATTTGACAATTTCGGCTATTACCTGACTATTACGCGTATTATTACGCGTGCTATTACAGATAGAGTGAACCGACTATTACGCGAGTGCATACCCCCTCGTGCCGGACACTATGCGGTCCGCCGTCTCGACCCTTTCTGCCGCCGTCGGCGTCGAGTTTATTGCCTCTCCCGTCTCTCTCACTCACTCAACAAGTCGATCAAGTGCGACGGGGAGACGCAGTGCACAGTGGGCCAGGAGACCAGGCGGTCAAGATCCCAGACGCGTTTCGAGCTCCAGAGTCGCTAAATGGGGATCGAACCGAACTTGTGACCCCACCAATGGATTCCTCGTTAGAAGACCAATCCATTGGTGGGGTCACACGCTCGGTTCGCGTCCTGTTTAGCGACTCGGCAGCTCCAAACGCGTCTGGTGTTTTGGCCGCCTGCACCGTTCTTCTGGCCCACTGTGCAGCGACAGAAGCTCTGTGTCCCGGTCCACGGAAGAGTAACCCGCCTGTCTCGGTGTTGCAGGAATGGCGCTGGAGGCAACGGCATCTTCGCCAGGCGGCTCGACTTCAGCTCCTTCAACGTGCTGCCCAGGATCAGGCTCAACTCGTACCACATCAAGGTGAGTGAGGGACAGCGACCCGCCTCCTGCGCGACGGCTGGAGCGGCGTGCGCGAGCGTGCGCCATGGCCTGCGGGCTGCGGGCACCACGACAGCGACGCCTGGGCTGCCGGAGGGCCCCGGAGGGCCCCACCGGAGCGCGGGGCGGAGGGCGGAGCATGCGACTTTCCTGTCCTCGGCCGCACAGCAGACTCGTTCCGAGAGACGTTTTCATCGCTCTGTCTCTCTCGCACTCATGGGGCACTCCGTACAAAGTGCGAGAGGGACAGAGTGACGAAAACGACTCTCTGGATCGGTCTATAGACCCGAACCGTACCGAACCGAACCGAACGGCCATGGGCCGCGGCGCAGCCTGATCGTAAAGTCAGTCATGAGGCGGCGGGGCGACGAAGCCGACCGCTGTCAGAAAAAATACAAGTCAATGTTTTAGTGCTGTGGTCGTATCCGTGTGCACCCCTTCACGGAAAAAGACACACACAGAGACACGCACACAGACAGACAGACAGACAGATAAACAGACAGACACACAGTAAAAACTCTACGAAGAGTCGCTTCGTAATACGAAGAAAATGAAGGCATTGTAAAATCTACGAAGAAATGCTTCGTATTATGAAGCAAAATCCTTCGTAATACGAAGCATTTCTTCATAATACGAAGCAATTCTACAATGCCTTCATTTTCTTTGTAGTTATGAAGCAAATGCTTCGTAGGCTTTTAAGAGTGCAGACGCAGCCACAGATACAGACACAGACTCGCGCACGCACACACACTCGAAAATAAGCCAAGACATCTTGGAGTATTGGGATCCTCCTTCCCGGTAGTATCATGTTCGTGCACTTTGCTGATGAGAAGCAAAACCCGAGTGGGTTTCGGGCGGAGAGGCGAGTGTTGAACCCGCGGACGGGACGCCCCGACTGCTTGCCGTGCTTGCATTCGGGCGCGGCCGTGTTTCGTCTCGAGTACCTGCCGAAATACACGCACGGGCTTCTCAAGTCGGACGCGTGAGCCCCACTTGGTTCCCGCCGTTGCTCATCAACCTCACTAAGTAACAGTAAGAGGCTCATGCTTGACAGAGCCGTTTGTTGAACGTCCAACCTTAAACCTTCGAGCAAATAACATACCATGGCGTGAGGCGGGCGGCGGGTCTCTCTACTTCTCTCTCTCTCTCTCTCTCTCTCTCTCTCTCTCTCTCTCTCTCTCTCTCTCTCTCTCTCTCTCTCTCTCTCTCTCTCTCTCTCTCTCTCTCTCTCTCTCTCTCTCTCTCCCTCCCTGTGCGTGGCCGCTCCACTAGTGGCGTTGACGTCCCGTTTTGCCACTTGCCCGTTCCTGTCGCCGCTCTTTTCTTGCTCCGCACGAGTAAGTCTTTCTGAGCCTCTTACTGAACCCTTTCCAGGTGGCTGGTCTGTCTGCCTGTCTTTCTGCCTGTCTGTCTGTCCGTCCGTCCGTCCGCCCGACTGGCTGGTCCGTGTTCAATACAGTGTGCGTCCGCCGGGCTGGCTGGGGTTGTTATACGCCAACTCGTCCTTCTGGGACGAACGCGACTCCTCTTGTTGGCAGCAATTGAATGACTCCGTCGGGCGCTTTCGCGTCGTCCAATCGGCTCCGCGCATGCCGCGCCGTGTCGTGTCTGGAGAGCACCTCGCGGCCTCGCGGGCTATGTTAGGACCCCAGCCGTGGCACGCCGTGCGTGCCTCGCGCGGCCGTTGCTCCGGGCGGCACGCTTCCCGATTACAATGTCAACCAGGGCTTGCCTTGCCTGCCTCGCCGTCTGCCTCGTCTGCAACGCGTCGCTGCGCACGCCGGCGGGGCCGCGGCTCCGGCTCCAATTCCAGTTCCAGCCGGGGACACGAAAGGGACGTGGATGTGATGTGTTTTTGAGGAGGGCGCCGGGGTCGAGGCGCCCCGCCCCTGCGGGCTGATTCCGCGAGAGTCGTTTTCGTCGCTCTGTCTCTCTCGCACCTGTACGGGACGCCCCGTGAGTGCGAGAGAGACAGAGGGACTCTCGCGGAATGAGTCCAGAGCAGCGCGCAAATTGCGCCGCACGCAGAGAAATGCTTAGCGCTGGCTGCTAATTCTTAACTGCCCTTGCTAATAATCTTAGCTGTATATGGACAGCTAATACCTTAGCACCAGTTGCTAATATTCTTAGCAGGCACATATTAGCTAGGTAGCTAAGGCCTTAGCAAGCAAAACTAAGTCAGAAAATTTTCGGTATTCGAACCTCAGACTTTTACTTGCCGACTTGTTACCTTTCCCCTTCGGCTACTGCCGTTCCTTCTGCGGAGAGAAGTTAGGGAGGACTCATATCCTACGCTGGGGTCGAATGATCAGTCAATAGGAGCTTAGCGCCAGCAGCTAATTTATTAGCACCACCGCTAAACCTCTGTGCTAAGATTTTTGTCAAGTCTTGCTAAGTTGTGTTAGCTTCCGCTGCTAAGTCTGCACAATGTAGCTAAGGATATTAGTTCTTGTGCTAAGTCTCTCTTGCTAAGGTACATTAGCAGGTCAGCTAAGTTATTTTTCTGCGTGCGTATTACCTTCCCGGGGGGCGCTTCTTTGTGAGGTGCCTGCCAGACTGCCGGTCCTTCGTCTCGATTATTCGTCGGACTGCGAGGTTCGGCTGGCTGCCGTGGATGTCGCCGCCCACTCTGGGAATGTAATTTACCGCCGTCGGCTCGTCCTCCCCTACTGCAGACTGACAGTCGTTTTCGTCGCTCTGTCTCTCTCGCACTCGTGCGGCATTCCCTTGGGATGCGAGAGAGAGAGACAGAGCGATGAAAACGACTCTCGGAATCAGTCTCCGCTGGCAGCGCAGCGGTTGGCCTCATCTCGTGCCGACGCTCGGCGAGCACGCGAGCACGCGCTAGGCTAGACTAGGCGCGCTGGCGGAGGTTGGGGCAGGTCGCGGCGCGCCGACTCATCATAGCCGCAGTTTCGCCACGTCACGGCTGCAGTGCGCCAGAAGGCCGGTGGTCCGGACGCGTTATGAGCTCCAGAGTCGCTAAATGGGACTCGAACCGAACGTGTGACCACACCAATGGATCGCTCTGCGAACGAGGAATCCATTGGTGGGGTCACACGTTCGGTTCGAGTCCTGTTTAGCGACTCAACACGCGTTTAGAGTTTTTTTTTGCCGCCGGCACCGGTCATCGGCCCACCTGGGGCTGCCGAGGGCCTCATGCAGGGCGCAGCGCGGCGCAGCGCGGCGCTTTCAGTTTCCGCAGATTGTGTCGCGATAAGGGAATGGCGGCCGCCGTCCGCGCCGTCCGACAGATCAATGCCCTGCGGCCCAGCCTGTGGCTGTGACGGCGGCAGCGGCGCACTGACGCACGCACGCCCGCTCTCGGCGAAAAACAGCTCCGCCGTTTTCCTGGTCGTTTTGTATCCAATCTCGCCGAAAACGGGTGTAGACCGTCATTGAAACGGTTTACCTGCGTTCGCTGAACGATGTTTTGCCAGAGAGGTAAGGATACGATGAACACAAACTGAACGGTTTTGAGCTGACCGTATTTATTCGTGCGTATGCGCGTCTTGCTTCGACGAGTCACGCGTATGCGACTGAGTGTCCACCCCTGACTTGTTTTGTCTCGTACATGACGATTAGTAGTCGGCCGCGAGGAACCGACTTCGGTACCGTTTCGGTGAGGTGGCTGCTCCGACGGGCCGGGTGGCTCCCGATGGCACCGTAGTACCAAGCGCCGCCGAAACACGCAGTTGGGATGTCGCGCAGTGCGCCAGAAGAACGGGGGAAGCGCCCAAAACTCTAGACGCGTTTTGAGCTCCAGAGTCGCCAAATGGGACTCGAACCGAACGTGAGACCCCACCAATGGATTGCTCTCCGAACGAGGAATCCATTGGTGGGGTCACACGCTCGGTTCGAGTCCTGTTTAGCGACTCTGGAGGTCAAAAACCCGTCTTCAATTTCGGCCGCCTCCCCCGTTCTTCTGGCCCACTGTGCGCCACCAGAGTGGATTTGGGGATGTCGTCGTCCTTATTCCGGGCGACTTGGAGACGATGGGCCGCCGAATCGGCAAATCTCTCTCTTTTTTTTCACCGTGCACGCACGGACGCACGCGCCGTCACGCGGCGGCTCGTCTTGGTGACGACACGTCATTACAGGTGGGATATTGGGCCGCGGGGCCGTTGGCCGCGAGGGGGGGGGGGTTCTGGCGGCGCTATAGCACGTCTCGCACTGCATGTTCTCGTTGTCGTGCGGCCGTGGCATGGCGGTCGTCCGCCGAATTGAGATTGATCGCGGCGCTAATGACGTTGGGCCGGGCAGCGGAAGGCGTCGGCCTACTCCCCCCCCCTTCTCTCTCTCTCTCTCTCTCTCTCTCTCTCTCTCTCTCTCTCTCTCTCTCTCTCTCTCTCTCTCTCTTTCTCTCTCTCTCTCTTTTCCCCCGGCGCCAAAATGACCGTCCGGCCAGACATGCCGGCAGACAGGCAGGCCGCCTGTTGCGTCCGGCGCCGTGTTAGCGCGCTGCGGCGGCCCCGCGGGCGGATTCCGAAGGGGCGCGCTCCGTCGCTCTGTCTCTGTCGCACTCGCGGGCCGTGCCGTGAGGGTGCGAGAGAGACAGGAGAGCGGCGAAGCGCGGCGCCCGGCTGTTGGCCCCGGCCGACCGCGTGGGGTGGCGAACTTGGTGGTGGACTTCCCTCGACGCGCCGCGCCGCGCCGTGCGGGGCCCTGCGGTCTGCGGGGGCCACGACGCCGTGGCGAAGGCACCGCCAAAGTCTCCAAGTTTCCCGCCAAGGCCGGCAGCAATTTGAGGATTGGGTTCGCCACGTGGACCGGATGGGTGGTCGCATAGCGCAGGCGGCCAAAACTCGAGACGCGTAACCAGGACTCGAACCGGACGTGTGGCCGCACCAATGGATTCCTCTTTCGGAGAGCAATCCATTGGTGGGGTCACACGTTCGGTTCGAGTCCCATTTATCTATCTGGAGCTCAAAACGCGTCCGGGATGTTGACCGCCCCCGCCGGTCTTCCGGCCCACTGTGGGTCGGCCTTCCACGTCGGCAGTGCGGACTGGGAATAGAACAGGATGGTATGTGCATGATGAAGTGGGGCCGTGGGAGGCTGGTGGTGCGGACTTGAGTCTTTCCGCTGTGTCGCAGTGTGGCAGTCCATCAGTCACCACACTGCTTGACTTGCAAGCAGACGGTGACTCAGTTCCGCGTATAATCGTGTGGCTGGATACAAATCGGTAATCAATTCGTGGACCGGACAGTCAGGGACCTGCCAGCAGCTTTATTGTCCGGCGAGGGTGCGGACGCACAGTGGGCCTGAAGACCGGTGGAAGCGGCCGAAACTCAAGACGCGTTTTGAGCTCCAGAGTCGCTAAATGGGACTAGAACCGAACCTATGACCCCACCGATGGATTCCTCGTTCGGAGAGTCATCCGGTGTGGGGTTACAAGTCCGGTTCCAGTCCTCGTAAGCGACTCTGGAGCTCAAAACGCGTCTTGAGTTTTGCCCGCCTGCACCGCTCTTATGGCCCACTGTGCGAAGTCCGTCGGCCTGACTGCATGGCGCGCGACTCTTGGCGATCCGCTCCAAGTGGCGCAGAAGAGTCGAGTCAAGTCGAGTGCGTGGCGACGGACGGCCGCGGCGTTGCGATAGGTTATGGTCGGCAACAAGCGCCTAGAAATAGCTCCCGCCTCTAGCCGCCGACTCCCCCTCTCCTCCCCGGCGAGCGCACAGCTGGCCGCGGCTCGGCGAGTCCCGAGAGTCACCGCGTTGCCTGCCGGGCCCGCGCCGGAGCGGCGAGGCGGCGCGCCGAGGAGGCGTGGAGGCCGGGCCGCGGTGCACTGCGGTGCATCGCTCTCGGTGCATCCGACGGCGCCAGACTGCGCCAGGCCGCCGCGCTCAAGGGCGGCCCCCAGCGGCCCCCAGCGGCCCCCAGCGGCCCCCAGCGGCCCCCAGCGGCCCCCAGCGGCCCCCAGCGGCCCCCAGCGGCCCCCAGCGGCCCCCAGCGGCCCCCAGCGGCCCCCAGCGGCCCCCAGCGGCCCCCTGCGGCCCCCTGCGGCCCCCAGCGGCCCCCAGCGGCCCCCAGCGGCCCCCAGCGGCCACCAGCGGCCCCCAGCGGCCCCCAGCGGCCCCCAGCGGCCGCCAGCGGCCCCCATAGCGGCCCCCAGCGGCCCCCAGCGGCCCCAGCGGCCCCCAGCGGCCCCCAGCGGCCCCCAGCGGCCCCCAGCGGCCCCTGCGGCCCCCAGCGGCCCCCAGCGGCCCCCAGCGGCCCCCAGCGGCCCCCAGCGGCCCCCAGCGGCCCTCAGTGGCCCCCGCCGCGCAGGCGCGCTCTCGCCGCCCCGCCACCGGGCTGCACTAGGCACACCGGGCACTCTAGGCGCGAGCGGCGCCGCGCGTTGACCTAGGTTGCGAGCGCTCCTCGCCTAGCGACGCCGCGCAGCCCCGGTTTACTCTGCCGAAGGTGGTGTGCCGTGCCCGTCTTGGCGGCGTGGTTCCGGAGCAGGGCGGCGTGGCCGGGACAGCGGTTGCAAGGAAGACGCCTGCCGGCAGGCAACCCGCTGCACACGCGCGCTTTGTGAACCCTTAACTGCGACTGGCCTAGGTTCTCCTAGAGACCCTTCTACAGAAACCCCAGGCATTTTCTCCCCAGAGACACCTTCTTCCTAGAGAGACCCTCTTCCTAGATATGCGTTCTTCCTAGAGAGACGTTCTTCCTAAAGAGACCCTCTTCCTAGAGAGACGCTCATCCTAGAGAGACGTTCTTCTTAGAGAGACGATCTTCCTAGAGAGACGTTCCTCCTAGAGAGACGTTCTTCCTGGAGAGACGTTCTTTCTAGAGAGACGTTCTTCCTAGAGACACCTTCTTCCTAGAGAGACCCTCTTCCTAGAGGGACGTTCTTCCTAGAGAGACCCTCTTCCTAGAGAGACCGTCTTCTTAGAGAGCCCTTCTTCCTAGGGCGTCCTTCCTAGGAAGACCTTCCCAGAGAGATCCTCCAAGAGAGACCCAGCTAGAGAGACCCTCCCAGAGAAACGTTCTTAGAGAGACCCTTTTAGAGAGGCCCTCCTGCGAGCTCTCCTGGCCCAGGCGAGATGGACGGGCACAAGGTTACAGTGTAGCACAGCAGCCGGCCTACTGCGCGTCGAAACGGCTGCAAGGTGACTCCGGTCAAGTGTTTGCTGCCGGGACTGTACCGCACTGTACACA